AAACCATCCTGATTGCATTTAGCATGCCAAACTTTCCTCACTGTGCAGCAGCCCCACATCCTCACTTGAGTGTGTGTGTGAGAGGGGGTGGGGACAGGGAGAGAGAGAGATGGAGGGGGTTCCTGTCCTTCAGCCTGTGCCTTAAGGGGGTGGAGGGAATTCAGATTCCTGGCAGAGAGTCATTCTGTGTGTGTGGGAGCCTTTAGTTCTGCTGCCTTTGTTCTGCTGGAGATATGCTTGGGGCATTATCAAAGACCCCTCTATCTATTCATAGAGGGAGTGTCTTGCACAGGCAATGGCATGACAGGGCTCCTAGGTGCAATGCAGAATTGTCTAGGCTGTCAGGATTTCACCCCAAACATAAAGGAGCTAGGAATGCAAAAATGTCCCCATTCACAGTAATCTTAAGAATAAATGCAAACTACTATTATATTGCATACTAGAGAAAAGAGAGAAATGTGTAGTTTCTAAAGCTCCAGTTCTTTGCATTCTAACAAAAGCAAGACTAGGCAAACATTCTACTCAGATTACATGACAGACAATGACAGTGACATGGGCAAAAGGGCTCACTGCTGGAACACAGGATATTTTGGGCTTTGAGCTTGGAGGGAGCAACTTTCTGCTGAAAAAAAACATGATCCAGACTGGCATTTACTCTTCAAATGCAAGACAGGGAGAGGTCTTTCCTCATATTTGTAGGACCCATACATATGAAATAATGCTAAGTTGCATATGTATTTGGGGACCCCGTGACTTGTGCCTTATAATTTTCAGAAGAACATAATTAAAATAATATATTAAAAGAAATACTTGTCATTCTAATAAAATAATATATAAAGATGAAAGCGCATATTTCAATCACTTAAAAAATCCTCTACCAGAACAGAAAATTCAAGGCAGTACTGGAAGACAAGCATAGAAAACATTTTAATATCTACACTCAAAATAGAAATCTTACAGCTTTTTAACAGAACAACAAAAACTACATGTCAAAAAGCAGGCCTGATCTTGACCATGAGAAATAATTTAATGCACTCTTTTCTCCTTACTCATTGACGTTGTTAACAATGAGTCCTGGACCTGGCACTGTGTTACAATGAGTGCTAAAAAGACTAGTGTGGTAGGTATCCATGCAGATTCTGAGTCATCCAGATCATGGTTGTTTCAAAGATGCTTTTTCAAAAGGCAACTGGTCTTTGATTTTCCTTGGAGACATTTCATTTTTCATACAAGAAGCTTCTTCAGTTCAATTGGACGAGAAGTGAAACATCTTCAAGGAGAAACAAAGTCCAGTTATCTTTTGAAAAAGTAACTTTGGGATTAGCCTGATAGATAATATCATGGGAATTCTGTCATTGGTAAAGAGAAGCCAAGGAATCAGATGCAACATTCTTTCATTGATCCATATGTATGTATGAGTGAAATCACTGAATGATTTAAAAAAAAGGTATTGAGACTCTAGAAAGAGAGCAAAGAAGAACAACAAAGATGATTTTGTCTGGAGACCAAAACACATGGTGAAGTTGTAGGAACTGGGTATGTCTAGTCTAATTAAGAGAAGGACTGTGGGTGGCATGGTAGCAGTCTTTTAATATTTCAGAGGTAGCCACAAAGGAGGGGGACAAACTGTTCTTCAAAACACCCGAGGGCAAAACAAGAAGTAACAGAAGGAAAACTCAGAGATGCAACCTAGAACTAAGAAGACATTTCTTAGCAGTGAGAACTATTATTCAGTGGAATGGCTTGCCTTCAGAAGTTGTGGGTACTCCACCATTGCAGATTTTTAAGAAGAGATTGAACAGCCATTTGTCTGGAATGGTAGGGTTTCCTGCTTGAGCAGGGAGTTGAACTAGAAGACCTCCAAGATCCTTTCCAACTCTGTTATTCTGTTTCTGAAGAAATATCCTTACGGGTTCTGCTCCAAGTGGGGAAAAAGATACTGGAAATATGGAGACTGCTTGGAAAGATGGTTTAATGATGGACAGTATCACATGGTTTGAGTTCCTGAACAGAAAAGGGCGAGATACAGCGAGTCCCCGGGTTTAATGCTCTCTCTGGCTTTGAACTTCCTGGGGCCCCGAAAGAGTATTCTGATTGGTTGTCAGACTCCCAAGGGGTGGGGGTCTTAGCTAGCCTTGCTGGCTGATGTAATCTTCCCAGGTGCCATGTGGTGAGTTTCTGTCTTAGATGGGTCCCATTGTGCTGCAGATTATGGTCCTTTGACAAAGGATTTAGTTGCTGCCTCTGGCCTATTAACAAAGGTGGGGGGGGTAGGGAGGCAGGAAGCTGCTTTGTCTTTAAAACATGTTTCTCCATTTCTCATCCAGGGAAATACAATATTCTGCCTTTTTAATATTTTCTAAAATATTTAATTCTTCCAGGAAAGGGGTGGGTGCTAACTTCCTACACTGTATTCTGTAAATTAGGCTTCAAGTTTGAGACTTATGGTCAAGTACATCTGCTCATTCATACAGTCAAGCAGGTTACTGAGTGGTACTCAGTATGCTTATATTTCATCTCATCTCATCTTGAAATACTTAGCAATTTCTTTTAAAAATACAAAACTACGACAGAGATCTCACATCATCATATTTTTAGCATTTTGCTATACCCGAATGTATAAAATAGCAATAACATGTAATCTTTAAACCAGATGCTGTGCTTTGCTTCTCAATTCTTTTGCAATTACCTATCTTGAGTTGTTCAAGAGAAAGAGTTGTGTGAATTCAAATTGTTAATTATAGGACAATGTTCTTCAAGGTGTCTTCCACTATGACAAAATTTCTATGCTATTAAAGTTTAATAAGAACTATAGTCCAGCAACTGAAGGTTTTCCTGTCTTAACGTATCCCCTACTTGTATGAGTAGCTCAGGGTAACAATGAATATGGGAGAATGTAAGGTATTTTATAAGCATGGCATGTCTGACTAAGAGTAACAGAAATAGCAGAGATCTATGTATGTTATCATGGTTTTTACTCCTAGTCAGATTCTTAGGTTACCTTGGGCACCTTGTGTGTGTGTGTGAGAGAGAGAGAGGGGGGGGGAGACAGAGAGAGAGCGAAGCATGTAAACAGAAGATCAATGGTATGCTTCAAACTAAATAAACAAAGGTGTGGAAATTGTTATTGCAACATCCAGGAATCTCAGCATGACCAATGGTAAAAGGATGCCAAGAGCTGCAGTTTCAACATATGGAAGCCCACAGGTTTGCAGTTTGCTTTTATGTATGCATTCAACGCTTAGCAGTCTTACAAAAGTAGGTCATAGTCCATCATCTTACTAATGCCAAACCACTTCTTTGTTTTTGCGCCCACAGTTAAAGCAGCCAAGCTGTGACAGAGAGTGACTTTTGGACTGACTCACCAATAGGCGTGGCAGTTTTTGTGGGAAGATGTAGGGTTGGTCTTAACTTGAAATCTCTCGCTCTTACTAACCTATAGAAGAAATGACACATTGTACTAAACCATACTTTTGTTAACCCCTTCTGTGATCTCAGCCAATTATGGCTTATTCAATTTGGTTTAGTAGAATGTTTGAGCCCAATCATAGTTTTCTATGTATTGGGAATCGTGTAGTGGGAGGAATTTGGTCATGCAGGATTTCTGAAGCAGAAATGATGGTGTTTAAGCATCCATAAAAATTTGACTTGAAATTCTTGTGTCCAGCCTCTGGCAATCTCTTAATTCACAAAAAAAGCAAACAAAGGAACTAAACTACTTTGTATCACTCATTTACATTTCAGAAACCTCAAGCACCAGAGGAATTAATTCTATAGGCTAAGGACAATCACCAGATTGTTATGGAGGAAAATTACCAGGTTGTGGTCTCTCAACTGGAAGCAGCTCAGATTACAGGGAGTAAATTCCTGAGCACTGAATCACAGCAGAGTTCCTTTAGCCCTTGGGGCCCCATCATCATTAATCTCACCTCACCTGCTTGCTCAGCTATTTCATGACATATCCACTCAAACCAGAGAATGCTTTAAAAATTTAAAGGGGAATTCAGATGTTAGCATTTATTAAATACTAAACACTTGATTTGTGGTTTGCAAATATAGCATGAAGTTCACTTGTAGTAGGCTACTTAATATTAACACCAGCTAAATTCACTGTGTCTAAATAGTAATTTTTTTCCCCAAGTCTTCTCACTGAACTATCAGATTATCAAGCACTTTGCTGATAAAAACCCAGCATTCACCTGGCTGGACCACACAAGCTATGCTCTTTAGAGGTTTTCATTGAAGGGAAAGATTTTCCTGGTTGTTTGCAGTATGTTCAAGGCCCATGGGAGTCAATTGGCAACCTGTGTTGGACCATTAAATCATTTCAGAAAAGGTTCAGATACTTGATCCAGGTATCACAGATGCTGCTATGGAGATTACATCAAGATACTGCAACTTGCAAATATTTTGTAAAGCTCATCCAAGGTCTTGTCTGCCAATCCTGTCCAGCTGGCTACTGGCCCATATTTACGGAAAAGTTATTTTTGTTCATCATAAACAAGTTTACAAGCTTCAGTTCCTGGAGTTCCAAATATAACCTTCCCATGCAGTCAGTCATCCTGAAACTATGGTAGGTACTATTATGCAACCTAGGCTACCTGAGATGGGGAGATGCAAAATGCAATCCCATCTGTTTTAAAGGCCTGTGCAGAAATTTTCACTTCTTGAAAACAAATGTAGGTTGATTTCTAAACTGATGTTTTTAGAAAAATTTATTCAATATCTTCTACTTTAAGCATTAAACTAACCAACTTGCACATGAGCCTGAAATATTTTTATATGTGCTTCTGAGAGATTAAAACATTTTGCTTTGGATTTGCAATTCTATTCATTTCAATTGCATTTTATTATCTTATATTTTTGTGCTTTTTAATAGCATGAGATCTTGTCTATTTCATGGTAAAGCTTACAAACTGACAATTTCCCTTCCCACATCCTGCTCTATTATAACCAGGCATGGTGGTTGGTTTTTTTTAGCAAAATTAAATACTACAGAATTTTTTTTTAAAAAATCTTTATTTTACTAATCAAAATATTAATTACCATGAATGGTAAGAAACAAAAGCTTGAGGTTTTCTGCCCTCTTCAAGGCAAAAGAAAAATGTAAGATACATACATGTAACAAAGTACCATAACAGTGAACAATCTACAGCTAGTTTTATGAAACCAGCACTTCAGGAACACATAACATTTTATGTTCCAAACTGTACAGCTAGATTGCACACACATATACCTCATAACACATTAACTCTGGTACAATGGGAACTGCTTCAAAATTTGTGCAAACAAAGCAGCAGTTCTTGAACAAAAGAAAACGTGGTATGGAATTCCACAGAATGACTTGATTTTTGTTTTAAGAAAAAAGACCTTACAAAACACTTCAATATAAGGATCATAGTACAGTACAGGTTTCACTGCTCTTTTTTAGGTATAAAATAATCCAAGCTGGATAACGAGGAGAACCATCTTTTATGAATATCACAACATTATTCCTCATCACTGTCCCAAACAAGTCAACAGTGCCAGTCACCTAGGAAAACCACCAGCAAGTTTGAGATGACATCTTACAAAAATGCCAATCATCTTCCTCTCCCTCTGTTCACGAGCTCCACCCACACCTTTAAAAAAAAAACACAGCCGCCACAAACACACACTCACATATACTGCTAAGGCAACATGAACAGGAAATCCCCTGCACTCCTGGACCCAGAGTAATGCAAATGCTCATCATATGAGAGATGTGTCATACTAGTATGACTGGTCCGTTTCCCCCCTCTCCTTCCTGCTCCTCTCGCCACGGATGCTTTGGCAAGACTAATCAGGTTTAAGAGAGCATTTCTGGCACAAAGAAACAGGCCACTCGATCACCCTTAATTACTAGATAAGAAAAAAGGGATGGCCCTGAGCAAAAGAATGCTGGGTAGTCCCCCCCCCCAATATCTAAGGAGTGGAGCTGACAAAAGCTGCTTTTCTTCAAAAGCTCTCAGCAGGGCTGTTTAACCCTTGAGGGAACAAGCCCCGGCTGCCTAAGAAAGCCTCTTTCAGAAAAGAGAGGAGGGAGAATCCTCAACCTAGAACTGGCAATTTAAGTTAACGCAAAAGCGTTATCGAAAATAAACTCAGCGTTATTCTCGAACTAGCACCAAAAGTAAAAAAAAAAGTGCACGCAGCAGATAGTGGTTGCTTTCCACCCAGATCAGGCTTTGAAAGGCCTGACGGGTTTTTGTTGAGTCTTTCCCCTTTTCTTGGAAACGACTTCATTTCCCCCTCCCCCACCCCACCCCTACACCCCAAGTTCTCAGCCTCTTCTCTTCCAGGAACAGCGACGTTCGCGCTGGCGTGACCAGTTCCTCTTTCGGCGCTCAGCCACCGCGTCCCAGTTTCAGGGAGCGCCCTCCGCGGCCAGCCGTCGCTCGGCCTTTTGTCTCGCCTTCTTTCCGAGTCACCAGAGCGTCTCTCGCCTAAACTCGCAGGGGGAGGAGGACGGGGGGGGGAAAAGGCCTCACTCGGGCTCCCCGCGCCACCGTCAGCCTCCCGCCGCCAAAGTCCCGCCACCGAGGAGACAGGCGGCACTGAGCTCCTCTGCCCAGAGAGGGGCTTCCGCAGGCCCCGCTTCTCCGCGGGGAGAAGTTTTCAGCTACGAGTCCCCGGCGGGGGCGCTTTAGAAGGCTACCACGGCCCTCACCATTATGCTCAGCACGCCGTCGCCTTGTCTGCAGTTCGCTTTGGGCTCCTCGGAGCCTTTGGCCGGCGGAGGCTGGAGGATCAAGCTAGAGAACCGGTCCTGCAGGATTCGGGCTAAGCTCGGAAAGGGCCCTTCTTGCCTCTGGGGCTGCCGCTCGCCCTCCTCCTCCGCCAACTTCGCCTTCTTGCTAGGCACCAGGCCGGCTTCGGCGGCGCCAATCTTGCCTAGGCTGCTGCTGCGGCGCTTGCGGCTCGGCTTCCTGCTGACTGGCAGAGGCCCCGAGGCGCCCCGGCTCCAAGCCGTCTGGGTCAAGGAATGCGCGGGCAAGCTGCTACCGGGCCCCTCCTGGGTTTCCATAGGTTCCGGATCCAGGCTGCCGCAGGGCTGTGGCGTGGGTGGAGGCGCCTCCTGTTGGGCTGGGGGGAAGAGGATTGCCGGAGGATCCTCCAGATGCTGCGGGCCGGGCGCCGTCTCTTGTAGGTCTAGGTCCGGCTGCCGCCCAGGAAAATTTTCCACGCTTCCTCCGCCCATCTCCTCCTCTTCCTCCAGCTTGGCCGAGAGGTAGAGGTCGCGGGCGTTCCTCATCACGAGGGAGAGCTGCAGGCTGCGGTGGAGTCGGAGGCCTCCGCGCTGCATGCGCGAGTGATACATCTTCCACACCGACATCGTCATAATACGCTGCGCTTCTTTCTGCACCTCCATGTTGGCGGCCGCTCTCCGGGCTTCCCTTTGGACCCTTCTGAAGCTCTCGAGTCGGAAGAAAAACGCCTGGGCTTCCACCCCCCCCTCCTCCAAAAGCGAAAGTGGCGCGCCTCCGGCTGTTTCTTCCCAGCAGACACCTCCCCGACAGCCCGCTACGGAGACGTCCGTTCCGACTAAGCGGGGCCGCGCCCAGCGCGTTGCGTTTTATACTCCCGGTGATCTCAGCGCCAGAGCCGCCCCCGCCCACTCTGCGAGCCGCATCCGGCCTTGTAACTGCGCGCCACTGGCCGCCCTTCCCGAAAGGGGGAAGGGCAGGCGGAAATGTCAGGGCGGGAGAAGAAAAAGAGCCAAATGGTGGTGTCGCCGGGAGAGGAGGCTCGCGGACGGCGGGCTTTTCCTGCTAAGCAAAGAACTGGAAGTCGGGTTCCACGCTGAAATGGCGTAACAGAGTTCAGAAAAAATGAGCAGCTGGTTGTGTAAGCGGTGTGGACAAGCAGTGGATAACTGCCGATTCCTTAGCTAATTGGCTTCAGAATAAATGTGTTCGTTTCCTTGGGAATGGAGTATACTTCGCGAATTCTGAATGAGATGTGGTGGATTGCAAGATTTACTCTGGGAAACTACGGAGCTTGTTGAACTCTTTTCGACCTCAGACATCATCTGCAACGTGAAGAATTTGGGAAGTTGAAGTTCACTGCCTGAAGGCCACGTGCTCCAAACTCGTTGGGAAATAGTTAAATAAGATTCGTTCCGTGCACGTTTTAAGGCTGGGGAAGGCTTCCGCACACTGTTCTTGGGTTAGATTCAGTGATAGGCAACCGATAAGGTTGCCAATCTGCAGCTGAGGCAGAGCAGCAAATAATACTATTCAATAGAGCCCAAACACAGCCACTTATTGTGGCATAAAAGACAATCCATGTTATGACTTAAATTGATTTTTGATTTAGCATGTTGTGAAAATGCAATGATGGCATTTTCAGTGAAACACGGATTAGGAAGATTTGGAAACAGATGTTCTTACTGATTTAAGTCAGGCCTGATTCTAACCTACTTGAAATAAGAGTGACATAAAATTTATAACTATTTAGAAGCTCATTATGCAAACATTATCACTATGGCAATACATTAAGTTGTGAATTAAAACTATTGAGGCTACCAGATATGACCTGCAAAAATCCAATTGTCCAGTAGATGTCACAGATGATACCAAAACAATTTAACTTGTTTCCATTTAGTGTTCTCTAAACAGGTTGCACCAATATAGCTAGTGTGGTTTGTTAGTACAATTTTGGCTATATCCTTTATAATAATATATTTTGATACCTCAACAATCTATAGGGTACAGAAAAATGCAAATGATTGACTTACTGAGTTTTAATTTACAGAGGTATTACATCAAATACAGAAGTTTTGCACTGTGGTCACATGTTGGTACTTGCAATCTTCATATTTCACATACTGATTAAGGCTCCAGGGTGTAACCATGACAAAGATGTTGAATAGGAAGGATATTCAGTTTTTGTACTATCAGCAAAATTAAAGGAAACTAGAATAAATTTCTGTAATTTCAGGACCAAAGCAATGCAAATACTTAAAAAAAAATACATTGTGGGCAAATTGTGAGAAATCTCAAGTTTGCACCCCCAATTATATACAGAAAACCAATGCAAGAAATGTTAGGTTTGCCCTTAAAATACAGTATTTTGAACTCCAGATCTTGTTCTAACTCAACCGTAACAATTGTTTTGCTAATGATAAGGAAAGATTAGCTCTGCTCTTTTTCTCTATCAAGATTTATAAGATATACATATTTCTAAGAATTCAAGATTATTTTGCTTGTCTTGGCACTAATATTTAAACATTGAGAGCTTGCAGTCTAACAGCTTGAGGTTTCAAACTGCTTCAAAACAAGATTTGAAGCAAGAGTAAGATGTTGCCCTTGAGGTTATTGATGTGGCCTTTTTGGTCTAGATGTCCAGTCAGGAAAAAATAATTTCGGACTCATATGCTTTCCCCAAAGCAGCACTTGAAAGAAAGGGGTTCCTTTTTTCTTAGTTGCATGCTGATTTCAATTGTTTCTCCCTACAGCTTCTCCTGTCACCCAAAGTTTTGAAATCCTGTTGCCATCAACCAAACCTATACAACAAACCTGACTTGGGAGCAAATTCCCTTGCAGCCTTATTCAGTCTGGCAGTTCTGGCCAAAGTGGCCCAGCATTCCGTAATTTCCAATGCAACCAAAGGGAGGCCAGTCCAGGCAAAGCCTTCAGTGGAGCTTCGCCTCAATTTGCATACTTATATTCTCTCCCATTCACCTACATTTGTGGCTGCCTGCTTCTTAATTGTCCTGTTTTACTACAGATGGTTTGTTGTTGTTGTTTTTTGCGGGGGTAGAGAATATTCCCAGGTTCCCATTCATCTTTTACTGGTCGGGAAAACACATTGTCTTTTAACTAGCCTCCCCAATCAGCACAACGGAAGGCACGCTCGTCCCTAACTCCCTATTCATTTTACAGTATTCCCAGAGCTGGGCTCCTCCCTCTATTTGGGTCACCCCTCCCTCTCGCCTCCGTGGTTACTGCATGTATTATTGGAGCCTGACGACAAGGCAGGGGGAGGAGCCGGGGCTACGTTCCCAAAGCGCTTACGTTTGTAGTAGCAGCCCTGCTTCCTGTGTCCATAAATGGGTAACGCGACGAAAGGCTCAACTGAGCTTCCGGGCCTTCACCGAGGGAGCCATCTGCCTTGTCGGCCAATCCGTTTACGTATAACGGGCTGCGGGGTAACACAATACTCTTATGCTTAGGTGGCGTATGTCCTCCTGAATCCTGCCACTTTCAGAGACTACATTTACAGCTCACGTCGTATACTCTCCGCTTGTAAGCAATTTATGTACATTCCAAGTAGGGATATCGTACCTTCCAAAGCAAACCTAAGCCATTTTTTTTTTCTTTTAGTCTTCCGAATTCCTGCCGCCTTTCCAATGCTGTAATTTCATCTGATCGGGGTGTGGCTGTGTAAATCCTTATCACGAAACTCCCATGCGGTCTAAATTTATTACTTTCCTGTTTCACCGAGGCGCAAAGTACACCAGGAAGTTATTTTACACCGAAACGTATATGCTAGCTACAGTTTGCATGCAGGTCACATTTTGGTCTTGATCCAAAAACGGGGGTCAAATAAAAATTCGGCTGACGTAACACCTTACAAGCTTTTAAGTTTATTCAACTTATACGGCCCCCCACCCCCCATATCGCTACTACGGCGACTCTGGGCGGCTTCCAAAATGATTTTTTTAAAAAACAACGCGAAAAATCGGAGGAAAAAGTGATCGTGGACGCAGACGTCCCTGTACGAAAGTGTTGTGGCCGGACGGACTACTCCGGAGTTTTCAGACGTGTAAAGTAGATTTTATTGGCTACGCAGCAATGTTTATCTTGGGATCAGGGCTTGCCCAAAATGGCTGGGGGGAAATGAGCAAGAAAATGTTTACAAATTTTCAACGTCTGAAAATATAAACATTAATTAATTTATTTATTTTATTTTTCAGTTTATATACCGCCCTTCTCCCTAATGAACGTGAGATAAAACAAATCTGGAACAAATCAATAGACAACCCAACAGACTTAGGTTTAAGGAACCTTTGGCACCTATGTACGAAATAAGTAATTTCTGGTTTTAGCCAGACCGGTTTCTCGTCTGGCAAGGATCTGCCTGTGCTGCCTCCTTATTGCGTCACCTCCAAACTCGGCCCACGAGGTCTTTATACTCTTCCCTCTTGGGTCCCTTCCAGGACACGAGCCTTCGCCATGCCAGCGATTTCTTTAGACACTGGTAAAATTTAAAAATACGAAGCCCCGTATCTTCTATGCTCCTTTTTCCTGTAGTTAAGATACGGTCTTAGTTTTCTTTCTTTTCTTTTTTTTTTTGTACGGAACTACCGATAACGAGTCCCTCTCAAATGGTAATAATAAAACAGTAGTAAAAATACGCAGTCCCCTCTGAAGCCATTTTCGGTCATTTTGCGAGGCGACGTCACTAAGGGGCTATCCGAGAAGCGTTTGGGAGTTTGGGGTGGAAAAACTTGAAAAGGCGAAGCTCTCAAACGAGGGGCGGCTAAAAGGAATTAATTCGTGCAAGCAAAGCCGCGAAGACTCAGGCCAGGTAACCCTTCTTTCGGAAATTTGGGAATGGAAAGAAAGGAAAGTAGAAACACCCCTCCCCCTCAAAAAAAAAAAAAAAAAGATTGTACGGAAGCTAGGAAATTCCAGGGGAGATTTCTGATTTTTTTCTCAACCCGCCTACTAACTTCTCTTCCCTATTTTGGCTCCTCCCTAGAAAAGGCGTGTCCCCTTTTTGTATTTAAAAAAAAAGAAGAAGAAGAAAAAGCCCAAGGGAGTTACAGGGTTGTGAAAAAGGGACCCGTAATAAACATGGCTGCCTTGATGGCTTCAGTTCAGTGAGAGGAGGGAAAAAAAGTGGGAACATTTTCCTCCGTAGATGTCCTTGTCTATGGTTTCAAAGCCCATACACGTTTCTATTGGTCGGCTGGACTTCTTGAAGGCGACTTGAACGGCCGAGGATGTCTCTGGAGGACCCGTTCTTCGTGGTGAAAGGGTGAGTGGCAGTCCCCGGTGGGGATACTGTGAAACAAAGGGGGGGGGGCTGGGAAACCCTTCCCTCTGGAAAAAGCCACGAAAAGAGCCGGTTGAAACCACGCGGGGTGTGTGGAGAGAGTGGAAAGATCGGGGAATCCGAGAATCTAAAGGCGGAGAGAGCCAGTTGAGAAATTTCCCCACCTCTGATGGGAAATCCCGTTCAAATGGCAATACAACCACCGGAACGACTTCTCTGAAAGAACTTTCCCCTGTAGATCAAAGGAGCTGCTGCGTGGCTTGGAAAAGAAACCCAACTCTCAGAAATAGCGGCCCTCGCGGGGCTGCTCCGAAATGCTCCGGTTTGGGAAGTAGAAGGAAACAAACATCTGGGTGGACGAAAGCTGAGCACCGTTTCTCTAATGCAGAGATGCGGCCCGCGGCAAAGATCGGCCGAGTCTGAATTTTATTTATTTATTAATTCAATTTATATGCCGCTCCTCTCCGAAGACTCAGGGCGGCTAGTTACGGCTAGTTTTTGGCACAGTTACAAAAATAGGCAACAAGGAGAGTTACTTTGTATAAAGCAGACATG